GTAGTGTGCACCTGTAATCCCAGTGATTCAGAAGGCTGAGAAAGAAGGGAATGCAAGTTTGAGGCCAGCCTTATCAACTTATTGAGACCTTGCCTCAAAATACAATTTTAAAAAGGGTTGGGGATGTAGCTTAGTGATGGAGTGTTTGCCCAACCTATGTGAGGCCCTCAATTCAATTTCTGGGGGTTGGGGGCAGGGGGAGAAAAGGAAGGAAAATAAAGAAATCTTTGGTTCTAGATGTGCTCATCATACTGTGGTCTCATTGCTTACAGGCTCTTACAGGCCCTCTCAACTGTCAAAGAAGGAAATGCATGTTCTTATACTAACCCATGTGTATACATATATCTATGTATATTTCTATATGTATAGAGTACCAGCAATAACAACAAAGTCATTGCTCCCCAATGGACAAAACTCACTCTATGACAGAACATATTTAAATCCAAGCCAAAGTAAGAAAAGAGCAATGTCTTAGTCTGTTTTCATCTGCTGTTAACAGAATACACAAGACTGGGTTAATTTATTTAAAAAAAAAGAGAGAGATTTGTTATAATAGTGGCCACCCCTTTGTGTAGTTGTCCTTCTGGCATTCTACATTCTCAAGAAAAGTCACATCTAAATGATTAAGGTGTCAATTGCTAGCAATCTTTCTTTAGATTTACAGAACCCAGAACATCAGATAACATCARAATGGGTAGCACCCCTCTTTATTCCTTTCTTTTTTCCTTTTTTGGTATTGGAGATTGAACCCAGGAGGGTTTAACCACTGAGCCACRTCCCCAGCCCCTTTTAAAATATTTTATTAGTGACAGGGTTTCACTGAATTGCTAATTGTCTCGCTAAGTTGCTGAGGCTAGCTTTGAACATGTGATCCTCCTACCTCAGCCTCCTGAGCTGCTGGGATTATAGGTGTGCTCTACYATGCCTGGMAAACTCCACCCCCTTTTAAATGAATTTTTTTTCTTTAGTTGTAGATGGACACAATGACTTTATTTTTATTAATTTATTTTTATGTGGTGCTGAGAATGGAGCCTGGTGCCTCACATATGCTAGGTGAGCGCTCTACCGCTGAGCTACAACCCCAGCCCCAGCAACCCCTCMTTATTCTTTATTTCTGTGCATCTACTAACACAAGACATATACATTTCTGTGAGGCCTATCTCTCAGAAAAGTAGTGTTCATCTACAGAATTATATGAACTAGTCCCAGGTTGAGGTCAATTTCAATGTTCTGGCCAAACAGGAAAGAAAGAAAAAGAAAAAGACATATACCCTGGACGACAAAGACCTTGTACACCATATTGTCTATCTGTCCACTGACCCCTGTACCTTTTTAAAAATCCCTTTGGCCAATGGAAAGTACTAACAGAAAATCAAAGAGAAGGACAGAGATGAATACTTGTGTTAGTCGTTTCCACTGTTACCGTAACAAAATGCCTGAGATAAAAGCCCTTTCACATGCCTGAGTTCCCCAAATAATCTTTTTTTTKGGGGGACACTAGCCCCCATCTTCTCAGGATGCCAGTGCATGAATAAATACTATTTCCTTTCTAGCATTTATCGTTTCTTGAGTACTGGGCTTTCAAGTGGTGAGCAGATGGACTAGGGTCTGGTTACATTATTTTTACAGTTCTGGAGGCAAAGGTGTGCTAGAGCATTGTGCTAGAATCTGGTGAGGGCTTTCTTGCTGTGTCACAACATGGTAAAGGGCATCGTAAGAAGAGAAAGCATGCATGTGAGAGCGAGAGAGGAAGGGTAGAGGCTGGACATATGCCTTTTTCAGGGACTCACTACTGCAGTAACTAACCCACTCCCTCCACAACAGCACTAATCCATTCATGAGGACAGTACTCCATGCCCCAATGACCTCTTTATAACTCCACCTCTTAATGTATTACTATTAAACTTCAACATGAATTTTGGAGGGGCCATCAAACCATAGCAATAGGCTTTGGGGTATTTTGGTCCATTGTACATACAGGATTTATTAGTAGTAGTTCTTTTTCAATCCTTCCATTCACTCATGTTTCTACCTATTACTCAGAAGTGGTTTATTAGGTTTTATTCATTTTCTGGCAGGTGATGTGGTGGTGGAAGGATTTGCTGAAGGTGGTCAGAACTCAGCTGCAACTGTAAATCTCCATGGTTGATTTGCTGCACCTGTGTTTTTGGCTACTAGAGGTGGAGCTTGGTTGAAACTGTTCTGCCTTAGGAATTTGACCTGGGGCTAATAGCAGCACAGCAGGTCAGTCACCAGATGGGCCTCTCCTTGTCCCTGTTCAGGGAAGTAGGAGGATCCCTGTACTGGGGGAAAGTCCCATCCCACCTGGAGATCATATCTGAGGACACAAACTCAGTGAGGTCAGGGAGAGAACATCACGAAGGTAAAGTGAACACCAAGCTGCCCCCACTACTCTCTGCCCATGCTGCCCCTCTTCAGGATGGGCAGGATGGATGAGGCAAAGGCCCTGCCCTTAAAGAGTTCCCACTGTAATAAATGAGACAGACGTTCAAAATAAACAGCTAGAATACAGTGTAATGTGCGTCATATAAGAACAAAGGTTCTTAACATATGGGCCTGAGTACAAGGATAGATTTTAGGGTATTCCCTAAAATTACTTATAAAAGTCATATATGTTGTATATACTCTGTTGATCCATAACAATGTCTTTCTTTGCTCTGTACCCCAAGAAGCTGACCTCTATGGACTTCACCAGATGAGCTTATGGATTTTTCAATTGGCTTTGGCCAATGGAAAGCACTAACAGAAAATCAAAGAGAAGAACAGAGATAAATATTTGTGTTAGTCATTTTCTCTGTTACTGTAACAAAATGCCTGAGATAATTAATTTAAGAAGAGGAAAGATTATTTTGGCTCACAACTTCAGAGGTTTCCTTCCATTGTTTTGTTGGCCCCATTTCTTTTTGGCTTGTGGCAAGGTGGGGAGCACATGGCAGAGCAAATTGCTCACCTCATGGTGGCTGGAAAGCAAAGAGAGAAGAAGACAACACAACCCCAATGATCAAGGACTTTCTACTTGGATCCACCTGGTAAAGGGTCCCATAAGCTTCCAAAAATGCAAAGCTGAGCAGTGAGCCTTTAACATATGGGCCTTTGGACAACACTCCAGATCCAAACTACAGCAGTACTGCTCTGGAAGGGACTGTGTCCCTCCACGGAAGGCCACATTCCTACTGGCTGCCCTTTCTCACAGTCACAGCTGTAGCTCTTCCTGARTTCCCCTTGAAGTAGGATGGGGAAAAAAATAGGTAAAAAGGAGACATAAAGGAAGGAAAATAAAATAAAATTTTAAAGTTCTACACACTTTTCTAGTACTTTCACTCTCCAAATGGTCTCTTTTTCAGGCCAGTTGCTCCTAAATTCCTGGGAAATCTGTAAATGTAACCAAACACTGTTAACTAAACCCACCTAAATAAATAGAGACATGACATTTTAAGATACCTACAACTTAGRGGACTTTCTAGCACCATCTATTAATCAGAAAATGAAGACCATATCAGCCTAAGGATCTATAGGTTGACCAGACCACCATGACCCGTCTTGAGATCACCAGACTGATATCATCCCTACATACCCTTCCATACCTACAGCTCACCAGGTTTCCTTTAAAAGAAGGGCCAGGAACTTCCAAACCATATCTCTCACTCATGGGATAGCCCACATTCTCTCTCAAATATGTATTCCTTGCTTTATCCCCAAAGGTGTCTCTCTCTTGAGACTGCCAATTCTCCTTTAAATGTGTATCTGTCTACTTTCCTAAATTAATCACTGTCTATGCCTCTGATTGGTGAATACTGAAATTCTTTCCATCACACAAGCCACGGACCCCACTGGTCCTTCTCTCTGGGAACTCCTCAGAACCTTCTTTATGATATCCTGGTACTTCAGACTTAGGAGTGGTTACTGCTTCCTGTGTCTTGCTAGCTCCAGAGCCCTTCACCAACCCTGTAGTACCCCTAAAACCTGTCCATATCTTTACAAAYGAAGCCAACATCAAACTACTTTTASTCACTTTTGAGTGAGCAGGACCTGAAAATATGTGAATCAGATTCTGGAGAGGGCCCATTACTCAAAAAGAGGTAGAGGAGCCCCTCAAGCAGAGATACACACAAGGTACTATGGATCTGAGGAAGGTGTCATATATAACCCTGCTGGCTTCATAGAAGAGGACTCTTCTCAAAATGGCAACCCAGTGATGTTATCCTCTGCTTTAATTCTTCCAAGGCTTCCCACTATTCTCAGAAAAAAGATGAAACTCTTTAACAAGGCTCACAGTGTCTTACCTCATCTGTCTGTCTTTAACCTCAGGCCAAACGTCCTTCCCTTGCCCTCTAGACTCACCTTGACTTGGGTTCTGCACTTGTACAGGTTCCCAACAGCCTTGTTCCTTTCAACTGGAAAGACTCCCCATCTTCTCATTTTCCAGACCTTGGCTCAAGTGACTCTCCGCAAAAGACTTCTCYGACACCAATCCATGTCGAGTTCCTCTGTCACATGCTCAATAGGGACCCTGAATCCCTCTGTCAGAGCACTTACCTTGTAACATTTTTGTGTCAATATCTTATTAATGTCTCACTAAACTGTAAGTTCAGTGTCCATATGAAGAGTGGAAATCTGTCTATTTCTGCTCATCACTGTGTCCCTAGCACTCAGCATGGAGCAGTATACAACAGAGATGCTCATAAGTACGTGAAAAGAAATGAATAACTAAAGGTGAAATTTGAGTCAGACCTTGAAGGTGTTTGCCAAGACATTTAGGTCAGGAGTCTGAGAGGACACCTAAGGGTTTAGGGCCTCACTAAGTTGCCGAGGCTGACTTTGAACTCATGATCCTCCTGCCKCAGCTTCCCAAGCTGATGGGATTACAGGCATGTGCCAGCACGCCCGGGTCTTGCAAGAACTTTATAGGCAACAGACAAATATTCCTCCTCCCGCATTCCTTTCTAAACCAAAGGATCAAAATAACTCAGAAACATTACCTTTATGTCAACAGTGAGTATCAACTCAAACTTGTTGTAAAACTCCTTGGGGTTGAGTAACCGGTACTCCTTGGCAGTGCCCAGGAATGCTTCAATGTCATTCAAGGCAATGTCGACCCCCTCTCGAGACTGGCACTTGTCTACAGCTTGGGAAGCCAAGAGGTAGATTCCTGCTTCACACCACTGACTGACCTTTTGGAAAGAAAAACAATGCTCTGTGCAGTTAACCTGACCTCAACTCATAGCCACCACCACCCCAGGGGCAGAAGTTCTGAGCTCCTGAGGGGTCCACAAATATTCTGGGACAATAGGAAATTTTCATGGGCTGGCATAAAACTTAGGCGTCAAACCTCTGTTCATAAAACTATGAGGTGGACAAGCCTAAGCTGATTCCACAGGGTCCACTTCTCAGGGAAGTCATTCAATCAATAAAATGAATCGTATAAACATTCTTCCTGTTTCCACTGACAACTGTTGCTATATCTCTTGGAGATGAAAGATCAGTCATTGTAAGTCACAAGTCAGCCACAAGAGAAAAGCAGTCAATGGCTTTTCAGACTCACCTGCTAGCAAGTCACCGTCTTGCATCCAAATAAGTTACAAGAACCTGGGGTGATTAATGAAGCTTAGACTTGGCCCATAGATAGCTTCCTGGGGAGGGAATGTCCTTTAACAAAAGCACCACTTTCCTCTTTGTAGTCCCAAATGATTCACATTTCCATTTATTGGTATTTGTCTTTACTACAGAAGCATCCCAAAATGCAAATCTTTGTAACCCATTAACAGTAATACTCAAATTTTCTGGATGCAGGATGAAATCAGATGAAGGATGAATTCTAATATCAGAGGGTACTGGGATGTTGCTCTACCACTGAGCTACATCCCCAGTCCTTTCTATCATTTAAAAAAAAAATTTTGACACAGGGTCTCCCTAAATTGTCCAGGCTGGTCTTAAACTCACAATCCTCCAGCCTCAGCCTCCAAGTTGCTGGGATTACAGGCCTGCACCATCACACCTAGCTAACAATTCAATTTTTTATTTGTTCTTTCGAACTCCACTGAGATACCTGGATAGAAAGACAGGGGGCCTGAATATGTGAAAAAAAAAAAAAAACTTCTAGGGCAAAAACATCTGTTTTTACATTTATCATATGAACTGAAGAGCAAGGTAAATGATCAAAACAAGAAAAATGATCAAAAAGGAATACTCCAAGCATGATGGTGCACACCTGTAATCCCAGTGGCTCAGGAGGCTGAGGTAAGAGGATCGAAAGTTCAAAGCCAGCCTCAGCAATTTAGCAAGGCCCTAAGCAACTTAGTGAGATCCTGTCTCTAAATAAAATAATAAAAAAGGATTAGTGATGTGGTTCAGTGGCTAAGGGCCCCTAGGTTCAAAACAAGCAAGCAAACAAAAAACCACTCCAAATGGTTATTTCTAAGTGGGAAAATCATAGGCAACTTAAATGTGTATCTTTACTTAATTTTTCTAAATTATTTACACTAACTTCTGGAGCCTGACAATGACAAAAAAAAATGACAAATAAAAGACTTTTAAAAATGAATAATTCCCAATGTGTGAGGATGGGAGGGGGGGATTGTGCATCGTGATGAACATTTCCCTTCCTCCATCCCCCATTTTTGGATTTTCAAAATAACATGACGTTGTGAAACTGTGAAAACTTTCTCTTTATACATCATGCTTAGATCTGCAGAAATTGTTAAAATGGAATCTGCAAAGTCACAATGGAGGTTGGAAAAGAGCAGCTGATCCTGCAGTGGGCTCAGCACACAGGACAGGCTGCGCACCAGCCCCTTCTGAGCCACTTGTTTCTGGAACAACTGTATTTCATTGACATTAAAATCCCTTTGGCAATGGGATGATGTAAACAGGCTGAGTGGATGCCCAAGCCATGGGACAGAAGCAGCTGCTGGAATGCAGTGTGCTGACTCATGGCCACTGGCCACAGGCGGCCAGGGAACAGCTGACAGGGAAGGCTCCAGAAGTCAGTGTGTTAGTGCTGACTAGGAACTTACCCTAGAGGTCATCTCTGAAGGACACCCGTGTCCGCACATCCTCACCTATGAGGACCTGCACACACAGCCTTGCTCACTCGCTTAAGAAGCCAGGGTTTGGAATCTGGCAGTCCTGGCTTCAAATTTGGCTTCCCCTTATTTATGACATGGGTGATCTTAGCAGTCATTCATCCCAGGGCTTTTTAAAGTTGTCCCTGGTACCATGTGAACCATTAGCACCAAAATCACTTGGCACTTGACTAAATGACTAATTCCTAGGCTTTATTCCTCACCTGCTGAATCTGAGTCTTTTGAGGTAATCCACCAGGGACTCTGCAATTATAACCAGCTCATTAGGTGATTCTTGGGTACCAAGTTTTGAGATCCATTGATTCATTGTGCTATTACTTTTTGCCTCTGGACAAAGAAGCCCTTAATACCTTTCTCATTGGCTGTCTTAGGGATTAAATATATGACATAATTATGCTCTGTAGGAACAAAGTAGGTGCTCAATAAATGGTAAGGGGGTATAATGGTCCTTATTACTGAAGCTTCTCCAAAAGCATTCACAATCCTTGGCCTCTGCATGAGGAGGACACTTTGAAAATATGGTGCTTGATTCTTTGTACACCTGCAAGGAAATCAAGAAATGTCCCCAGAAGGCCATGACAAAACATACTCTTCAAAATCTGCTTCCATGGACTTTAGTTAATTTTAATGGTATGGAGAGATGGCTAGGACACTTTATATATCCTATACCTCTATGACCTAGTGTCTGCAGTTTTTAATGGCTCTTGAGCACTTTTCCACATAAAATTCTGGATACTCTCAGTGATCATGTGAGGCGGGGAGGACAAGTATGATTAAAACCACTTTACAGTTGGGCATTGTGGTGCATGCCTGCAAACCCAGCTGCTTGGGAGGCTGAGACAGGAGGATCGCGAGTTCAAAGCCAGACTCAGCAAAAGTGAGGCACTAAGCAACTCAGTGAGACCCTGTCTCTAAATTAAATACAAACTAGGGCTGGGGATGTGGCTCAGTGGTTAAGTGCCCTTGAGTTCAATCCCTGGTAACCGCTTGACAGAAAATCCTGCAGACACTTTCACAGCTTTGTTTTGCTCACCTTGTCCAGCTGTCTATGCAACTCCAAGGACTTTCCCAAAGTGTCATGTTTTTTCTTGTTTTCATTGATGAAGTCATCACAGAGGTGCCTGAGCTCCACACACTGGGGCCTAATGGAGTCCACTGAGTAATGATGGTCTTGGATGAGCTGGTCTCCAGCCAGTGCAAGCAGCTGGGCCTTCTCCAGGGACTCCTGCAAAACAAATACCCACAGCTGAGTATGAGAGGCTTGAGCCAGAGCATCATGAAGCTGGTAAGTGCCTGACACTGTGTGCTCTGAACTTGGAGGAGGCTATGCAGGTGCAGCTGATTCAGGGCTTTCTCAGGAGAAAGTTGTCATTCATTCAAAAATTTGTAGAGTTCTGAGTGGCACACTGAGGCTACAGTGTTAACAAGCCAGGAATTTTCAGCTTAATGGAGAATTGAGATAGTACCTAAATGCTTATAATTAAATGAATATTACTATGACAAACTCTAGGGCAGAAAAGCATTGCATATTATTGCACATATACTAAGAGACTTTTAACTAAAAGGGAAAGGAAGATAGATGCTTGGCCCTGAGGAGAGTGGTAGTGAACTGAAACTGAAACTAGTGTGGGCACCTCTATGGAAGTCATGGCACTTACAAACATGCCTGTCTAAACCCCTTCCTGAGGTTTCTGTCTACCCTTACCTGTCTGCTCAGCAATTGCATTTTCTCTTTATGTGTGTGTGTGTGTGTGTGTGTGTGTGTGTGTTCCTATCAGTCAGTCTTATCCCTGACAAGAATGCCTCACTGGGGGCTGTATGTGCCTAGCATGCATGTGGTCGGGGTTTCATGCCCAGCACTACAAAAAAAAAAAAAGAAAAAAAGAAAAATCCATATCATTATTCCTAAATGGTTTGTGCAAACAATATGGTTTATGCTGAATACTTATACTTGTTTTCTTTCTGGGAGTCTGGAACTTCAGTACCTGCCAGGCTATGTATGTGACCAGTTCCCRTAAAAACTCTGGGCAATGAGCCAATGAGCCTCCACTGAGCATCTCTGATAGACATTTCATGTGTTGTCACAATTCATTGATGGAGGAATGAAGTGTGTCCCGTATAACAGTGGGGAAAAGCATCAGAAGCTTGCCCCTGGTCTTCTCTGGACTTCACCCCATGTACTTTTTCCTCTTCCTGATTTGGCTGAGTATCTTTTTACTCTAATAGGTTGTAATTCTGAATATAACTATATGGTGAGTCCTATTAGTCCTCCTTACAATCTTTGTATCATGCAATTTTTGGAACCCTTGACATACAAGCTAGGACCTGAGTAAGGGACAAGCCACACAGTCTTTGGTCTTGAGACAGGGATGTATTTGGCAGGTTAGAGAAGCATGAAGGAGATGGGTGTCGTTGGAGCAGAGGGAACAGGTAGAAAAGGAGTGGAAGAGGTGATCAGAGAGGGAAGAGAGGGTAGGACTGGGGAGGGCCTTGCTGCCATTGTAAACACTTTGGTTTTTACTCATTGTGACATGGGGAGCCTCTGAAGAGGGAGATGTCACTCATATTTTATAAATGATTACTCTAGCTGTACTATCAAGATGGCAGATCAAAAGGGATAGAAGGGAGACCAGTTAGGGGGCTACTGAAGAAATTCAGGCAAGAGATGGGGCTTAACAAGGTAAGGCACTAATCTAGCTCCTGCTCCATGGCCTTCTTCTGGAAAGTTCTTCCCTGGGTCATTTAGGTCTAAGCTCTGAGTTACCTGCTCATATCACCCAACCATCACTTGGCCCTCTCTCTAACTTCATTTATCTGAAAGCTACATTCTTTGTTTTCTGTAATGATTATTCCCTTCCTTGCTCACTACCACCAAAATGTAAGTAGTGTAAGAACACTTAGTAGGCATCCAATAAATAACTGATCAACAAAATTAATGCATGAGCCAGCAGATGCAGGGGTCTACTTGRAGGGATTGTGTGAATCGGCATTGACCTTTGAGTCCACAGACGACTGCCACATTTACAAAGGTCTTCAGGAGCAGAGCCCCAAAGCACCCTTGCTGACCACGTTGAGCATCAGGGCTAACCACATTGGCCCTCATTTTGTTTTTTTATGGTAATACAAAGAATCATTTTAACTCCAGGTGAGGTCACTTGCCCCTTTTAACTTGCACTAGTTTATGATTTTGACAGTTTCAAAGCCTCTGTCCTCCCACCCTTACATATTCTCCAAGCCTTGCAGTGCCCACATACTTCTGAACACCTTTTCTGATCCTGCCTCCTCTACCTCCTTGTTACTACTGTCTGTTCAGGTCTTTATGCTTTCTCACAGGGACAGCTGGTCACCTAGATTTCCTTCATTTGGGTTGACTGGATTTAGGGATGCCCAGAAAACTGGCAAAACAGGGTTTTGTATGTGTGTTTGTGGGCGTTTCCAGAGAAGACTGGTGTGTGGTTCAGTGAACTAAGTGGGCAAAACCTGCTCTGTACGTGGGTGGCATCAACAAATAGGCTAGGAAAAAGTGGATGGCATGAAAAAGTAGAAGAAGGAAGAAACTTGCACACGCAGGCACAATCGACCCTTCTTGAGCAGGTGTGTTTTTTGTTGCTGCTATCTCCCATGGACATCAGACTCAGATGCCAGAGGCCTGTTAGGGGACTCTGAGTTCTTGAGCCTTGGACCAAGACTGCATCACTGGCTTCTCTCTCTTATTCTGAGCTTCCAACTTTTCTTGAACTGAGCAGCTATATTAATCTCTAGCATGCAGACAGTTACTACTGTCTGTTCAGTCTCTGATCATGTAAGCCAATTGTTATGATTTGAACCTTTAATGTCCCTGAAAAGCTCATGTTCTGAGAACATGGTGCTCCAAACAGCAAGATTCGGAGGTGGGACTTTCAGGCAATGATTAAATCATGAGGGCTGTAACCTCATCAGCAGATTAATCCACTTGATGGATTAATTATTTGAATGGACTGAGTGGTAACTGTAGTCAGGCAGGGCATGGATGGAGGAAGTAGGTCACTGGGGGCATGGCCTTGAACTATATCTGTCCCTGGCTCCTCTCTCTGTCTGTCTCTGCTTCTCAATCGCCATGAGCTGGGCAGTCTTCTTCTGCTACCCCTTTCTACCATGTTATGCTTCTCAGGCCAGAGCAACGAAATTGGTCAACCTCTGAAACCCTGAGCCCAAAGTAAACTTTCTCTCTTCTAAGCTGTATTGGCAGCCATTTTGATCGCAATGACAAAAAGCGGACTAACACACCAATCTAATAAAATCTCTTATAATTACATATATTCTATTGGTTATGTTGCTCTGGAGAACACTAATACATTTTTCTTTAAATCATCCAGACTGGCAGAGCAGCAATATCAACACAATGCCTTAATATGTCTATGTCATTCCTAAGCTTCAAGTCTTTACAAGTCCCTCAAGATCTTCAGGAGCAAGTTCAGACTCTAGAGCAATGCACATGCCTTTCATTATCTGGCTCATAGCTTGGTGTGCCTCTTACTAACTCTGCTCTATGTCCCTCAGCTCTGTTCTCTGCTGTAGCTGTAATTATGACTAATTTGCCCTTTTCCCAGTATTCAGGTAGCTCCAGGCTTCTGTGGTTTCTCCATCTGTTCTCTGGGCCTCGAAAAACCCCATCCTTTCCTTCTCACACTCTTCCTGACTCTCTACTGCTCCTATATCTCTTTGAAGCTAACTCTATCTATATCACCTTTCCAGGAAACTTCTCTGATTTTGCTATCTTATGTTCTTTCTCTTCGTTCCCCCCAAACCCTATGGTTCTCTTGACCAGAGCTTACCTTTCACTGTATTGAGATCACTTAACCATTGTCTGCACTGTGCCAGCTCTTATGCTACTTAAATATAAGTGGGACATAAAAGGTGCTTAAATGACTGTTGTGCAAAACAAAAAGGAGTGATGATATGGGAATAAAGTGACACAAATCAAGGTGTGACTAGTTTAAAGAACTCAGAGTCAAATTTTCAGTTTTCTTGTTTTGAGCAAAGACCCAGCCAGATGCAATGGTCTCCAGCCCTGGGAGGAGATTAGAATGCTAATTCCCTGGGCAGTGAGTTTTGACCTTTTTGTTCATAGCTCAGAATTTAGAATAGTGCTTGGCCTAGTAGATCAATAAATATTTGCAGGATGAATCAAGAGTGAATGAGAGACCTTTATTAGGACTGTTTAGTCCCTGCAGTACTCACTGCTTAGTCCCTACAGACTGAACCTAGGGAATGCTCTGTAGCACAGAATCTTCCCTACTACTCCGTGATAAGAACAACAGCTATTGTTTACTGAGCACATATGAATGTTTTACAATGATTATTTGTCTCTTCCCAACAAAACTTCCAGTATAGGTACTGTTTTACAAAAGAGAAGTGGAAAAACTGAAGTTGACCCAGGTAGGAAAGAGAAGGCCAGGCTTCCAACTCAGTCAGCCTGGCTCCAGAATCTGGCTCTGACCAACAGAGAAAAATGGCCACACTTGTTCTGCCTAGGCTTAGAGACCTCATCTGGTTGCTCAAACTTGTCGGACTTTGGTTAAATATAGAAATATGAAAACTTGGCAGAGAAGTCTGTTGACATTTTTTTTTTAAGTCCAGCTGCCTAATTTATTAAGCATAACACAGAATTTTCTGGGTTCAGGGAAATTCAAACAAGATACCTCCTAAGRACCCTAGAGCAATCACAGCCTGACCTTCACTTGGCATGCAGTGTCTTACCCTTCAGTMCTGTTCTTAAGATACCCGAGGTGAGRGATGGGGATATGGCTCAGTTGGTGGAGTGCTTGCATCACATGCACAAACTCCTGGGTTCAATCCCCAGAACCACAACCACCACCACCACCACCACAAAAAACAAAACAAACAAACAAAAAAACCATGAGGTGGTAGACAAGAGATGTGAACAACAGGTCCAATTGGATCTGCAGGGAAGGTCCATAGAGATAACTCAGGATCTACCCTGATTCAGCCTCTGGATGGCTAGAAGATCACTATTATAGAAATGAATGGATGATAAAAATAACCTCAGAGTACTGACCACCTATTACATTCCAGGCACTCAGTAGGTTCTTAACCATACATCTAACTCATTTAGTCTTCACAGATTCTGCAAGGTACAAATTATTACTTGTTTTATAAACAAGGATACTGTGTTCAGAGAGGCTAAGTAATTTGGCTAGGGTCACAGCTGGTAGTTGTTAGAGC